ACTGTTCATCCGCCTCTTGCATCCTCGAATCCACATCGAAAAAATCCGTTTCAAATCCAACTCATCGTTGGAAGGAACCCACCTGAAGACGACGAAGCGAACCCGAAGCGGAGGCGCTAACCTGAACTATAAAAGAAGATTTTCGGAGCGCAGACCCTGAGAGGAGCGCCGAACATTTTCGCCACACATCCGGGTGCCTGCCTGGCTGCACACACTCAGCCGCGCATCCGAGAGGACTGACTGGCTGGCAGCAGCAGCGGCGGCCAGTCAATCCGCTGCTGTCAATTATTCTCACTGCGAGGCTGGGCGAGAGGGGAGACCTGTGGAAAGTTGGAGCGACCAGAACAGTGTGTGCGCAGAAAACGCGCAAGGGTGCAAGCCTGAGAGACGCATCTACATTAAAAAAAAAAACATCCAATACTAATTGTTTTACTGTTTATAACCTGAAGAAAAAGACAAAGTTTACTCCTACGTGTAAGAGTAGAGTTTTGGTGAAGGGGTGGGGGGTGAGGGGAGGCATTGATGGCACTGGAAAACCAATATCTGGTGTCGGTGGCTGAATTACGTCATCTAGTATTTTTGTCTCTCCTTTGTAAATACGCACTATGTTCCAGGTATTAGACTTACCCCTCAGGGGTCTCCCCCTTATAATGAACGGCATTCTGTCACCTCGCTCTCCTCCCGGGCCTCATTGCGCCGTTTTCTGTGCTCTCTCGACGGCGATGCAGAGGGGAATGAATTGTTCAGAGAGGCTCTGGTGGAAGGTTAGCAGTGATTGGATTACCTGTGCCTGCATTGAGGATAAAACAGTTTCACCGCAGAGGGGTAATCCTGCGATTATAATCCCTGCTCCAATGTTCCCCAGACTAGAGAACCAGGGCCAAGCAAGTGGGTCTGGCAGTCACAATTTAATGACATTACACTTATTTTATCCCTCAAAGTCCTGCACTGTCACTGTTGTTGGAATTGCACTTCCACTAGGAGGCATGAAATTTGGCTTATTTTTTAAACAGCACTAACACTGGTTTGATTATTTTTATGTTTTATTGTTGAAAAAGATGTAGCACTTCTTAAAGATCTATGGTGTAATAACAGAAAAACGTGGTATTTTTATTTATTTATCTTTCAAAATCCTGCATTTGCATTTTAGTGTTAAAGTAATTGAATTGAATATATTTTATGTGGACTACATAATCATTTGGAATATCAATGGTACAATTTCAAACAGCAAAAGTTAGCAGTGATGACTGTGAGATTAAATTCTTTTGGGGTTCTCTATATGTTGCAATGTGCTGAATAAGAATCAGGTTTAATGGCCAGGTTTGTGGGCTTAAACAGGTAAGTTGACTTCAGATATGCTCAGTGTACATATGTTACATATACCGGTAAATATAAAAACATTAGAGGAAATTTTAAAAAATAGAACAACAGTAATTGCATATGTTATTGTCCAATATGTTTGGTTATAACTATGCAAATATGCACCTCTTGTTTTGAGGTTTTTAATCTATAGTTGAAAGAAACTACTCAGGAATGCTGGAACTTTTTACACCCACAAGGTGGAGCTTGTTTGTTTAATCATCATGAACAGATCATCCCTCTGTTTAGAAATTCATTTTAGTAGGGATTTGCAACATGCAAACAAAATCCACTGATAAGACTGAACTTGTTTTGTTGTTTTAAAATACACTTGTATTAAATACACTATGACAGTGTTTCCCAACCCTGGACCTCAGGGCACACTGACCTGCATGTTTTAGATGTCCCCCTGCTTCAGCACACATGATTTCAATTGTTGACTGATTAACAGGGTTTTGCTGAATTGCAATCATCTGAATGGGGTGTGTTGAAGCAGGGGAACATCTAAAACATGCAGGTCAGTGTGCCTTGAGGATCAGGGTTGGAAAACACTACACTATGATACTTGCAGGAGCTATCAATGTAAGATATGCTTCAATAAATAATTCTGCCTTCCTGACTACGCTGATTTATTTACATTATTGTTTTACAAAAGTGCAGCAACATTACCCCCATCATTGTCCTGGAATACTGAATGCCCTTAGCAAGCAAGCATGATGTCAAAATTCACAGTGTTTATTTATTTATTTATTTATTTTACAAGATTAACTAAAAATAATAATCTACATACGCAATCAAATTACTTATTAATTTACCTTTTCGTGTTATTTACGCGCTATGGAAAACAATTTCTGAAGTTAAAAGTTCTACTGCTCTTTTGTCATTAAATAAAGGATTCTCCGGGGAGATTTTTGGACGCCACTATTTCCGGGTACGGCGGAAGCTGCAAGTGTTTGGAGAAAATCCGTCCGAAGATGGAGACTTTAACTGCGGGACATATGATGAGCTTAGCTGCTCTACAGAGACAAGACCCGTATATAAATAAGCTGCTGGATGTTACCGGTCAGGTAGCTCTCTACAACTTTAACTCCAAAGTGAACGAATGGGTAAGTTTGGGAAGAATGGGCAAAGCTAGCTACATGTTTATGTAGCATATTAGCTATTCTCTCTAAAATAAAAATGCTTAAAGACATTTTAATAAATCATGTTAAAATTTATCCAAGCAGCGCTGGTAGCCGTCGGGTTCGACCCAGGTTCTTTTTCTTGTACTCCAAGGGAAATACGTACATTATCGGCGTTATTAAGCTAACCGAGTCTCGCTAGCAGCGGCTAACTGTAGCCGCTGTTTTTTGTTTTTTTTTTTTAATTCACCCGCTTTGGGTTTGCTTTTATTGTTCCTGACTGAGACTGCATGTTTTCTATTTTAGGAGAAGACTGAAATCGAAGGAACACTATTTGTCTATTCGAGGTAAGAACACAAGGTGTTTAAATACAGAATCACGAAGGTTGTTTACTGGTGTTTGTTACGTCGCCTTAAGCTGTCATTTGACGTATTTAGCGCACGTGTGCAGGCCGCTGCCCTTGTAAACAACAGGGACATGTGATGGAGTCGCCTATTCCTAAAACATATAGTCTGTTAAAATATACATGATAAAAAAAAAGGTATTTTCCTGTTTCAAGTGTACAGGGACGCAACATATTCCATGATGTTATAACTTGTAGAACAAAGATGAGGTCTACGGTGTCCCATTTGATACTTTTTTGTTTTTCATGTTCTTTGGCTTTGGAATAAATTTGTTGGAAAATCTCTTGGAAAGATTGACAAATAATTGGTTTCCACATACATCGAGTATCTCTGTGTCTGTGTGGAAACAGTACGGTTGTACTTAAATATTTGCATAAAGTTTTGTTTTCATTTCATTCAATAAAAGCTAGATGAGAATATATGTGAAAGCCAAATTATTTTTTTTCAGAACCTGGTAAACAAGTTTATAGTGACATGATGCATAAAACCTTTGAATTGAAACACATTGTAAGTTTTGTCATGACTTTAGATGTCTATATTATATTTGGTTGGGTTGAGCATGAAATAAAAAAAACTTGTAAATTTATTGAGAAAATATTAGGAGTTCAACAGTGCACAAATTCAAACCAAGAGCTTTTTGGTATGGCTTTTTCTGTTTTGCACACATGCGTACGAAATAAATGCAGTGTTGTTTTAAAGCCGACAACACTCAGAAAGACTTGACTACAGCTGTCTTTATAAATCTGCTGGATGATAAATTATCCCTGTAATCAGGGAATATTGTTGTTTTGAGACCATATATTGATAACTATGATAGCATAGTAATGCAAGTTTGAATTCTCAAAGACCAATAAGCTAATTTGTAAATGATACTTAACACTGGAACTGGAAAATATTCAACATAAGTGATTTTTATAACATCTGACCTTTTTGAAGGTCTGCCTCACCTCACCATGGCTTCACCATCATGAATCGACTGAGTACAGAGAACCTCGTGGAGCCCATAAACAAAGATCTGGAGTTCCAGCTGCAGGATCCCTTCCTGCTCTACAGGAATGGCAACTGTGAGTGTTTTGAGGAAGAAAATGTATACCAAGAGATTTCTCAGCTCGAACAGATCTCAAAGGTTCTAGTCAGTTTTAGTTTTTCAGTCATCAGATGCGCTTCTTGTTTCTTGATTTAAACTTCTTTTACTGAGATAACAGGTTTTGGAGTGACCGAAGTAGCTGAATAAAGGTGATTACACAGTTCTGCTAATCGCAAGAAAAAAATTCACTGGTTTTGAAATATTTCCTGTTATAAAAACAGACACTCCTGATGTGTGGACACTAAAGAAGCACTCATGTCTGACTGCAGACTTTTGAAAGCCTTTAGCTCAAATAATTAGTTAGCCGTCTCATTAAAAAAAGACAATAAACAAATGCTATAAATCTGATTATAACTGTGATAACGTTAGCAGCAGGACAAATATTTGTTGTCTTCTGTTAATGAAAACTATTGGATATTTATTTTAAATTTCCTCTTAAATACAATGAAAAATGAATTTTTTTCCTCATTGTTATCATGCATTAAGAGTCTTTTGTGTCCGTCAGAGTTAAAGCACACACAGTCGCAGTCACACTGGTGTTAATGGTTTACCTCTGAAAAGGCTAGACAAACATCTTCCCACCGTCCGGTGGAACATCTCTCGCCCATTCTGCATGAAGTCATCTTTGAGTCTCCTTGAAGCATTGAGGAGGAAGACCTTGTTATTCATGGCCGTGGCTCGCCGTGCAGCAACTCCAGCTTAGTTTGGCTGCTGCTGTCTCCCTGCATTTGGGAAAGAACCAAGCCCTCACCCCCAAACTTTGACTGGGGCACCAGTCATCTTATCCTACTGTAAGTTGGTGTCAAATCAGGGAAATGGAAAGTAAGAAAGTCCCTCAGATCTTCAGAAAGTAGCTGACTGCGCTGCCTCCAAGGTAATCTATTAGAAGTCTGAAGAGAAGTTTCATCAAAGCAACGAACAAAGAGTTGGATTGCTTTCCCATTTGTTTGCTTATGAGAAAAAACAGCATAGCCAAGGTGAGGGTTAAAGTAGACTGCTCCCCTTTTGGACTCGGTTTTCCCATCAGCCTCGCTGGAATGGACGACATGATGCGGGAACTCGCCGGGTTTCCAAATCAGCAGCTCCTCTTATCGCCTTACTAGAGAGTGAGGATTGTTTTTGTAATTCCTCTTTGGTTTTGATCCATCAGTTCGCCTTGGCTCCAGATGCAGGTCTCTCACTCTCTGGTCTGCTGTTCATCTGCTTCTGTAAATGTGTAGCTGTTGGAACAGATTCCTGGGTTGTGATCTTAAGATGAATTGTACAAAGTCAAAAGTTTGCAGAAGAAGAATCGGTGTAAAAGAGCAGAGTGTCAAGAAGACAGAAGGTGGATTCTTCAGAGATTTTGATAAGGATTATTTGAGTCTAAATCCAGTCCCTTTTGAGTGCCATTGAACTAAGTGCTGCAGGCTGCGGTGTGTGTTCAGAATTGAAATATGCTGTTGGAGAGAAACATGGACTTTAAAACACTTGTTTACATCTTTTCATATTCCCTCTGCTAGCAGGAGGGAGCACAGGGAGGCAAACACTTGGGTTGCTAGGCTGGCACAGCCTCAGGAGGGTCTCTGAGTACACCAGCATTTTGTCACACAAATAACAAAATTGTTCTGTTAACTAAGTATTATTATTACTTTGGTGAAAGCAGGAAAACCTTCAGTTTCCTTTAAATGCAGGTGAAGTTTCTTCCTTTTTTGATGATTATTTTGGAGTGTGGAAACTTATTCCCTTAAACAAATCTGAATTTTCATCTAATCTTTAAATATTTAAGTCTAGATTTATGGCTCCACGGATGTTTTCTTTCGTTTGTCTGGTATTTTAAAGTGCAGAGCTTTGTCCGGTGTAATGCTTCTCCTGATATTCAGTCATAGTAAACATTTTCTAAAATGAAGTGTTTGTGTTTTCTGACAGTGGGTATCTATAGCATTTGGTTCTACGACAAACGGGACTGTCACCGCATCGCCCAACTGATGGTCAAGTAAGTAAGAATGTTCATTTGTGTGCAATTATAATTAATATGAGACATTTACCTCTTTGGTTGGATTTATTCAAGCAGTATTAACTCCTCCAGGTGACAAAAAAGCTTACAAATTATACTTTTCTGTAAATTAGAATATCTTTGAAATAGTTTGGAAATTCATCTGTAAAAGTGTTAACCATATTGCATACAGAGTAAAACATTTGAAGCATTTATTTCTGTCAATTATGGCTGACAGCTAATGAAAACCCCAAATTCAGGTTTCCAGAAAAGGATTAAAAAAAGTTACACTCTAATGTTATTTCATGGCCTAAACAATCACAAGGAAGACTGCGTACTTGACAGACGTCCAGGAAACATCAACAACCTCCACAGGGAGGGTAAACCGCAAAAAGTCACTGTTAAAGACGCTGGTTGTTCACAGTGCTCTGTCAAAGACTGTTAATGAAAGGAAAAAGTGTGTTAGAAAAAGGTGCAGGAGCTGCAGTGACAAGAAGACACTTAAAGCAAGTAAAACTCAATCAAGAAGAGATTCTCAAGCTTTGAACAGCAGGTTGGGTCAGTGCAGGTTTTATTAAAGATATGGACTAAAACTATCACTCTGTGTGTTTTGGCTTTCCTGAATCGGAGACAATAGAAGTTTATTACTAAGGATAAAAAAGGCTCTTCTTCTGGTAAAAAGTTCCTTTTTGTAAGATGAGAGTGAAATTTGGAGTTTACAGAAAGAGAGACGTCTTCAGTCCAAAGTAAGGATATCTGTCTACTAGGGCATTTTATCGCCCTTCATGCTTCCTTCAGCAGACGAGCTTTATAGAAATGTTGATTTCATTTAACTGGAGCTCTTGGCACTTGCCGACACTCACAAAAAGTACCAATTCCAGCTATAATACCCGTAGCATCTTAGTGCTTAACCTGCCAGTAAACTGCCTGACCTGAATGTCAGAGGGAATCTAAGCAGTTTTTTTCAGTAAGACATAACAAATCCAGCAAAGCAAATGAAGATGAAGGCCAGCATGTAGCCATTCCATAGAGCTGAGGCAGTAATTCATGCAAACCCCAACCAATTATTGAGTCTATAAAGTAGAGCAGATGGGTGTACTTTTGAGCAGGATGACATTACTGCGTGTCCCTTTTTATTATTGATCTGATGTAGTCGTCTAAGTTTCTTAGAAACTGAGTTTTGGGTTTTAGTTCTTGTTTGTAACTGGAAATTAAAATGTAATTGAATCGCAGTGTGTCTGATGAAACTATTCAAGTTTGACATTTTCAACATAATTACTTGTAGGAAAGAGTGGAATCTTCCTTTATTTGTCCTTCAGCAGGAAAATTCACATTCATCAGCAGCAAATTGACAGGCTAGTGTCAATAACGATAATACATCATCAAAGTCATTCTGATTTGAAATGTACATGCGCTGCCTCAATCCGTTCTCCAGGATTGTGAAACAAGAAGCGGACCACGCCCTGAGAAAAACCCCAGAGAGGGTCGATCCAGGGAGAACCAATGGAGTCGCAGAATCCCGACCCATCGACATCCTGGAGCTGCTCAGCAAAGCCAAGGAGGAATACCAGAGGGTGAGGGAGCGCTGCATGTTGCCTCATTATTTCTGTTCATCTTTACAGGATAACATTCTTACTGTAAAACCTATCAAATAACAGTGAATGTCTTTATAAACACCAACACAGACTCTTAAAAATACGTTTTCATGTTACTTGATATTCTCTGTGATATGAAAAATTTGATTATTTTAGGCATAGCAGCCACTGGACACTCTACTAAGGAGGTTTTAACATGTTTTTTTTTGTTTTGTTTTTTTTTTTCTGAAAAAAAGAAATTCTTATTCTGTCAAAATGAATGTAATGTCCAAATGCTGCCAGTAGGTTGCAACAACATCTAAATAGTTATAGTCTAAACCAGTGGTTCTTAACCTGGGTTCGATCGAACCCCAGGGGTTCGGCGGAGCCTCTGCCGCGGAGGTAAAGACACACCTGTGTAAAGTCGTGATGACGCCCCGCTTTGCCATCACTTGCTATAGAGGATCACGTTACATTGCTTAGCCAATCAGAGCTGCGGAGGAGCACTGACTGAAGGAGCACTGATTGTTACTGCCTTTTAGAGGCAGGTGTCCAGTGCCGTGTATTACCACCCCCCCGTGCCGTGGGGGGAGTAATAAAACTAATATAATTACATTACTAAATCAGAATACCGCGAAGTCATTATTATTTATTAATTTTTCATTCTCTTAAGAATGTAGAGCTAATTAAATGACCTAAACAATTCCTTAAAGTGGTTCCAGTTTCTCTTGATGGTCAACCTGTTGAAACTGTGGCAAATTTGAAATACCTTGGTTCGTTCCTGGACAGTCAGCTCAACTTTGCTGAAAACACTGACTATATTTTGAAGAACTGTTCTCAGAGACTCTACCTTTAAGAAGAATTAATGATCTTGGGGTGACCCAACTTACAGAAGGGTTCAGTGAATGCACATATGAAACTGGTGGGTTCGGTACCTCAAAAAAGGTTAAGAACCACTGCTCTAGAGCAAAGAATCACCGCTGGGTTCTCTGTGCAGGGTGTTCTAACCTCAACGCAACACCCC